CTCGTATTCAGGCAAAAGGTGACTTCTTACAGAATACAAAATTCTATTCAATGAGGAAAAAGAATGATCACCTGTAGCTGTTGTGACTGGGAGTAGCAAGAGATGAATTCCTGCTTCTTTCATCCGAGGAAACAGAGCACGAAGATTGGGTCGAACCACTTGTGACGATAAAGAAGAAGTTGAAGTTAAATTTTCATTTGTTTGTCCTATGATTTTCTACTCTGTGTTCAAAATTCTCTACTCTGGCCTGAGCACATGGCAGCCCCATTGCTGGTAGGCCTCACTCCACTCAGCTGTCGGTGTTTTATCAGACAGGGATCTGTAAAAGCTACGTAGAGGTTGAGTAGAATCCAGAAATCGTTGTTGTAGATTTATAAGAATCAAGTCTGTGTACTTTTTCAGCTGGCTAACAAACACTTCTTGTCCTCTTCACTTAAGAAATCAATATAAGGACCTTCATTAGTCAACTTCTGGACTGAAGTCTTTGTTCCTTCCAGTCCATTTTCAATGGATCTCTCTCTGATTGATGCAAGAGTAGCTTCTATTGCTGGACAAAGATCTACTACTGTTGTAGCAGATGCCTGGATGGCATTGTTTAGTGACTCCAGTGGTTTCAACAGAAGACTTACAAGAGAGATAATGGTGATAGTCTTCTCTGAACTTAGGAGCAAAAGTAGTCCACCAGCCTCACTACTTAGATCTGTCCCATCTCGGTAGATACTTTCCAAAGCCGGTAATAACAGTTGCAGTAATTTTAAGATAACAGCCAAGGATAGCTCATGAGAAAGCCAGTGGGTTTTCCCAGGTTGGACTAATTTGAACTTCAGCCCCAGTGTATCTTCTATTTGTTTCCAGGCTGTTCAGTCCTTTTGGACTCTTGCTGAAAAAAAAAAAGAATATAAAAAGCCATTAAATGTATGGCTTTTAATGTTTTTTGAAGAGTCTGCAGCTCATACTAGCATTAGCTGGAGTAGATGGCCTCTGTAGTGTGTATAGGAGAGATTAGGGTTACACTTTTCTCTGAGCAAAGCTTGTAGTCCACTATGTCTTCCAGAGAAGTTTGTAGCCCCATCAAATGCACCAGCAGCCATCTGTCTGGGGTTCAATTTACAAGCATTTAACTCTTCTAAGATGTCACAGATGCAGCTGATGTGTCTTCTCTTACCTGAACATCTAGAATGCATCTACTGGCCTACCATGGACAGCAAGATAGCAAACACACTGACTTAACACTTGATGCCTGTTTGCACTGGTGCTTCATCAGCCATGTGTGCACATATTTTGAATGTGGGGAGAGAGTTCTTCACTTTTTAAACTGCTGAGTCTTTCACTGTTGCACCACGTGCTTCTAGACAATCAGCTGAGTTCTTGCAGAAATATAGCAAGCATTTGCCAGTGTTGTTCAGAACCAGTGTTCAACTTCAAGATTGGTGGGGAGGGATAGCTCAGGGAACCCAGGGTTGTGAGTTCAATCCTTGAGGGGGCCATTTAGGGATCTGGGGCAAAACTTGGGGAGTGGTCCTGTTTTGAGTAGGCAGTTGGACTAGATGACCTCCTGAGGTTCCTTCCAACCCTGATATTCTATGATTAACAAGTGACAATGCACTTAGAATTGGCCTCCAGTTTGCTGTGTGTGGTATCTCTTGCTTAAATAGAAAGTGTAATGCAACAGCCATATTGGGTCACATAAACAGAGTTATGTATCCAGCATTCTTAACCGCCTTATTAAGTACTTCTAAAATTGGCTTTGACAGTGACTGGCTTATAAGGAATTCTGCATGTCCATGCAGTCCAGAGGCGTGGTGTTTTGCAGCCTTTTCATGTAGGTTATCAGTATTGGCTTGGCTGATTGGTCTGGCAAACCCAGCTCCTCCACTTTTACCACACAAATCTATGATATGCCCACATTTTGAATACTGCGTGCGCCATGCAATTCTGGTCACCCCAACTCAAAAAAGATATACTGGAATTGGAAAAGGTACAGAGAAAGGCAACAAAAATGATGAGGGGTCTGGAACAGATTCCATAGGAGGAGAGATTAAGAGACTGGGACTTTTCAGCTTGGAAAAGAGATGACTACGGGGGCGATATGATAGAGGCCTATAAAATCTTGACTGGTGTGGAGAAAATTAATAAGGAAGTGTTATTTATCCCTTCACTTAACACAAGAATCAGGCAGCAAGTTTAAAGCAAACAAAAGGGAGTCCTTTTTTACACAACGCACAGTCACCTGTGGAACTTTTTGCCAGGGATGTTGTGAAGGCCAAGACTATGACAGCATTCAAAAAAGAACAAGATAAGTTCATGGAGGTTAGGTCCATCAATGGCTATTAGCTGGGATGGGCAGGGATGCAACACCATGCTCTGAGTGTCCCCAGCCTCTGGGACGACAGGGGGTGGATCACTCAATGATTCCCTGTTCTATTTATTCCCTCTGAAGCACCTGGCATTAGCCACTGTCAGAAGACAGGATACTGGGCTGGATGGACCTTTGGTCTGACCCAATATGGCCATTCTTACATAAAAAATTAATTATAATAATAAAAAAGTTTAGTACAGAAACTCCCCAAGATATCAAGCATTCTTAAAACTACAATACTCACCTGGAGATGTGAGGAAACATTGACAGAGACAGGTACCCAGAAGTCACTTACTACAGGACAGGCCTAACAAGGAAAATAACAGAACACTGGCCATCACGTACAGCCCCCAGCTAAAACCTCTCCAGCACATCATCAACAGTCTACAACCTATCCTGGAAAATGATCCCTCACTCTCACAGACCTTGGGAGACTGGCCAGTCTTCGCTTACAGACAGCCCCCCAACCTGAAGCAAATACTCACCAGGAACTGCACACCACACCACAGAAACACTAACCCAGGAACCTATCCTTGCAACAAAGCCTGTTGCCTACTCTGTCCCCATATCTACTCTAGTGACACCATCAGAGGATCCAACCACATGAGCCACACCATCAGGGACTCATTCACCTGCACGTCTACTAATGTGATATACGCCATCATGTGCCAGCAATGCCCCTTGGCCACGAACATTGGCTAAACTGGACAGTCTCTACGTAAAAGAATAAATGGACACAAATCAGACATCAGGAATGGTAACATACAAAAGCCAGTCGGAGAACACTTCAGTCTTCTTGGACATTCTATAACAGATTTAAAAGTAGCCATCCTTCAACAAAAAATCTTCAAAAACAGACTTCAAAGAGAAACTGCACAGCTACAATTCATTTGCAAATTTAACATCATTAATTCGGGCTTGAATAGGCTCACTGCAAAAGCAACTTTCCGTTTCTTGGTATTGACACCTCCCCATCAATTACTGGGAGTGGACCACATCCACCCTGATTGAATTGGCCCTGTCAACACTGGTTCTCCACTTGTCAGGTAACTCCCTTCTCTTCATGTGTCAGTATATTTACGCCTGCATCTGTCATTTTCACTGCATGCATCTGAAGAAGTTGGTTTTTTACTCACAAAAGCTTATGCCCAAATAAATCTGTTAGTCTTTAAGGTGCTACCAGACTCCTCATTGTTTCCCCAAGATAATGACCTCTCAAGATAGCGATGATGTGAGATAATGCCTTGGCAAATAATGCATTTTAAAAATCTTGGCCTGTTAGGAAATGTATATTTATGTCAGTTTCCTAGCCACAAATCTAGCGTTCTGGAGTGAAGTCACTAAAACAGCTCTGGCTGCTGTTGTTCATTGTGCTGCTGTTCACTCCATCGCTCCGTCCCCAGTGGCCCTGCACCGTCACCTGCTGCTGCCCCCTGCCACCGTGACCTCTGCGAGTCGGTCTCTTGGGTTCCACCCGCTCTCAGTGATTTCAGCTCTCGGTGGGGGAACCGCGCTGCTAGTGCAGGCTGGGCCGTCTCTTCCACAGAAACACTGTCCCCTACAGCCGGTCTGAGCACGTAGGCCTGATTGTCAGCGAATTCAGCTCTAGTGGTCACTTAACCAACCAGAAGACTCTCTGTGGAGCCCAATCCGCTCTCCCTCTAAACAGGAGAGGGGGCAGGTCAGACAGTGCCTGTGACTCTTAGGCAGAGCCCACCCCACCAAGCAAAACACCTGTTCGCCCCCTGCCCCCTCACTAGGATCTGGCACCCAACCCTCCTGCTTAGCGGGTGCAGTTCAGGTGAGGGTGACCAGGGCTTACTCTGTAAGGAAAGAGGTGCTGGGGCTCAAGCAAATTTGTTACTTTCATAAGTGATGTGGCAAGCCCAGAGGTCCCCAGGCTCTGAACGGCCGAGCCTGGAGGTGCCAGGGCTGAGCCCTGGCAAGCCCTGGCACCAATTAAGCCCTGAGGGAGACCCCATCATTCAGGCAGGCTCAGCACAGGTCTGCTGCCCTCTACTCAGGCCATAAGGAGAACAACAGTTCATGACCCCCACATTCAAAGTGATTCCTAACCCAGCACCAGCCAAAATGGATCCCTTGGGCAGCAGGGCTCCGTCTGCTGGATACCTCGGCAGAGTAGGTGAGTCCATATCAATACAGTCTGGCCCTGAAGCCTTCCCCCCACCCGGCTCATCAGCAGCTGTCAGGGAAGAGCTCAGTCAGACCTGGCTTACAAGTCATAATTGGAAATGATTAAGCAGGCCAATGTAGCCGAAACCAATGTGCGAGTGTCACCAATAACAGCCGTGTGAAGAAACGGGTCTTTGTTCAGACTTTTCAATCCGTTCTGCTTGCTCAGGTACAAGGTTTGATCACAAGATGTGTATGCTTTTATAATGCTTCCACTTCAGTTCAAATTGCCTTTGGCAACGCTGCTACCTGGGCTGGGGCGTCGGGGAAATTCGGGGAGCGGCTGGGGAATCCCCCGCAGGACCTGTTGCCGGAACAGGGCAGAGTCAAGGGCCAGGTGCGGACGCCGCGTGTCCGCCCCGTGCAGCGCGCCCAGCCCGGCCCAGCAGGGGGCAGTCGCGTGCGCCGGTCCCGGGATGGGCCGGGCCGGGGGCGGAGCCGAGCCGGCGATTGTCTCCCGGGCTTTAAAGAGCCGCCGGGACGCCCCGCTCCAGCGCAGCTGGGCCGGCCGGGCGGGCGCTCCGGAGCGAGGCTGGCGGTTCTGCAGCGCCGCCGTGTGAACCCTGCAGGTAGGGCCCGGCCCGGGCAGCGGCTCCGGCCGCGGGGCTGGGCGGCGTCTGGGTCGCAGCCGAGCCCAGCCCCCTGGGCTGTTCGCTCCGCGGGGCCCCCAGCGGAACTTCGACGGGACTTCTGCGGGGAGCGGACCCCGGGTTTGCCTGGGGATCGGCCCGTCGGGGGCTTGAATCTGGCCTCGGGCTTCTGTTCGCCCTTCCTCTCCCTCTGGGCTTTATCCCGCCTCGCCGGGACGGGGGTAGCGGAGGAGCCCCGGCAGCGCGGGGTCGGGGCTGCCCTGGGGAAGCCCGAGTCCGGGAGTGAGCAGTGGGGCCGCATCAGCCGGGCGTGGGGATCGCCCCTTCCCTCCCTCCTCTGGCGGCTGCCGTGCTGGGGAATCCCGCAACGAGGAGCGGGTTGCTACAGACCCGCTCTGGGGGGCAGAGAGGCGCCGGAGGCTTGTGGCTGTGAGCGGTGCCAGGCTGCTCCCGGAAGCCCTCTCCCAGTGCTGCTCCTCGGGAGAGCTAGGGAGTTTGGTGGAAGTTCTCGTGGGCGATTCCCAGCCTGTTTGGACACTGCTTTGGTGCTGTCAGTCTCATCCCAGGGCGCTGGGCAGCCCCCCTTTGCGTGGAGGAAAGGTTGGCAGTGAAGTTGGGCTGTTGGCAGGGTGTGTGATTTGCAGTTAATTCTTCTCCCAGGGGAGGTTCTGGCTCAGAGCTGCTGGAATGTGTGTCAGATGGGTTCACATGCCAGCCAGTGGGTTTGCAAGGAGCTGGGTGGTCCTCAGGCTTGAAGTGGGCTCCCAGAAATGCCAGGCCTGTCATTAAATCATGACAAGATTTAAAAGTTTGCAAAATAGCCCCTGCAGAATTGGGGCAGATGCTGCAAGGAAACCATCCTTGGGGGAGTATGCCAGGATGCAGAAGGGAATGACCTAGGCTGGGGACTGGTGGTGCTTGCCAGTACTAAGGCACTGTGCCAGCCTCCCACCAGTAACTGGTGCCCCTTAGAGCTCTCTCTATCTAGGGTGGGAGGCAGGTTGGTGACCCAGTCCCCACAGAGACTGATGGGATGGGGGGGGGGGGGGGGTTGGCCCTGGGAGATGCAGGGACTGTTATTGTCAGATGCTGGCTAGAAAAGTTTCAGTCCAGCTGGAGGGCTGTGTGGATAAGGCCCAAGTAGGGGAGATCTCTGGGAACCCCACTATGGCCAGGTCTGTCAGGGCTCTGGGCACAGCAGAACATGGACTGGGGAAATGAGGCACTAAGGAGAGCAGGGGCACTTCCTGCCCATTGGTTAGTACTGCCCTTAGGATCCTGGGCTTTGCTCTTTGGGGCCAGGTTCCCATTTCAGGGTCTTGGCCCATGTAGCACAGAGTGGTCCCAGGTCCAGCGCCATGCAGTGTGGGGGAGCTGTGGGTGTATGGGGTGGGGGAATCTACATCCTCCTAGGCAGCTGGGACGAGGTCACTTTGTGCAAGAGGTTCCCCTTCCTTGCTCTGCAGATGACTTGTAGGCAATTCCCCTATTGAGATTCCCAGCCGGAGCCCTCCCAGACAGTCATAGAATCATAGAATATCAGGGTTAGAAGGGACCTCAGGAGGTCATCTAGTCCAACCCCCTGCTCAAAGCAGGGCCAATCCCCAATTTTTGCCCCAGATCCCAAATGGCCCCCTCAAGGATTGAACTCACAACCCTGGGTTTAGCAGGCCAATGCTCAAACCACTGAGCTATCCGTGATCATAAGGCAGCCATGGGGCTCAGGATGCCAAGGGACTAACCCTCCCCTCCGAGCTAAAGCCTCCTGAATAATCCAGGGGTCTCCTACGGCAGCCAGCCCTGCTCCCAGCAGATAGAGCTGTAAACCAGCTCTCGCACTCCTACCACTCGTGGCTGGCTCTTACTGGCTGACTTTTGGCAGGTTTCTGTGCTGGCTGGTCAGTACCATGAGCTGCATGTGTGATGGGGACACACGTTTGTCATGGGTCACATGGGTTTGAAAGCTCTTTAGAAAAGAGTGCAATTTTCTAAGCAACTCGTCACTGTGCATGCTGAGCTCTGGGCAATCTGACGGTCTCCCCCAAAGGGAGCTGCTGGCTCTGGGAAACCTGGCACCTCTTTGGGTGCCTAAACGGGAGCCTGAGCACTTTGAGGAAATCTGCTCCATGCGTGCTGGATTCTTACCTTGCTCACCCCAGCGCAACTCTGTGGCGTTATCCTTGACTCTCACCAGTGGCAGTGAGCTCAAAATCTGGCCCTTGAGACAAGGTTTGTTCCCTTGCATTACACGGGTTTCCCAGTTTCGTGGGCTACAGTGTGTTCTCGTATTGATTGTGTTGTGGTACTGTGGTAGGCCCTATATGAACATATAGGAAGAGAAGGTTTAGCCTGCAGAAGAGAAGAATGAGGGGGGATTTGATAGCTGCTTTTAGCTACCTGAGAGGTGGTTCCAAAGAGGATGGCTCTAGACTGTTCTCAATGGTAGCAGATGACAGAACAAGAAGTAATGGTCTCAAGCTGCAGTGGGGGAGGTTTAGGTTGGATATTAGGAAAAACTATTTCACTAGGATTGTGGTGAAATACTGGAATGCATTACCTAGGGAGGTGGTGGAATCTCCTTCCTTAAAAACATCTAAGGCCCGGCTTGAGAGAGCCCTGGCTGGGATGAATTAGTTGGGGATTGGCCCTGCTTTGAGCAGGGGGTTGGACTAGCTGACCTCCTGAGGTCCCTTCGAACCCTGATATCCTGTGATAAGGTGCCTGCACTGAAGAACTTCCAGTACAAGTTGTTAATGTCAGCGGTGTCATTCCCTGCAGCCAACCAGGGAAGTGCAGGTCACCTCCCTTTCTGCACCCCTTTACCTGGAAAGGTGCTTGTGCTGTCAGGCTGTGGAGGTAGGAGGCCTGATTCTGATCTTGCCCTGCTGGGAGTCCATTGAGTTCAAGGGACTGACTTCTGACCAGCATTGCTCAGCAGAACAGCCCATCTCCAACTGTTCCCACCAGCCACCCAGCTTGCTGATCTTCGGAGGGCAGTGCACCATGCATCCTCTCTTTCACGCATTTTCCTGGTGATGGCTGGGTTATATCATCTGGACTGGGGCTCTCTGTGTGTGTGTGTGTGTGGGCGGGAGGCACCTGGGGGGCCTCTCTGCACTGGCCTTTGTGGGCAGTTAATTTAACGTGAGGCTGCATTGAATCTGCATGAGGCACCAGATGCTGCCGGGACCTATGCATTTTAAAAAATTCAATGAATGGAATCAAATTAAATTTTAAGAGCTGAGGTGGGAGGAGCTTGTTTCTAAAAATGACCTGACCCTGTAATTTGTTTCTGAAACTCTTCTCCTCAGCCATTCTAAGTGTAAGTTAAAGCCACCTGGAGACCAGGAGGCTGCAATGCCTCTCAGCACCGGGTCACACGGGCTGATCCCAAGTGGGTCCAGGGGATCTCTGCCCTGTTCTGCAGCTCTGTGCTCAGACTGTCTAGTGTGGGCTATAGCTGCTGCTGCAGGATCAGTCAGCAATAGCTTCTCCATTCCAGTGCTGGGTGGGTTCCAGTCTGCCCAGCTTTGCCAGGGCACCTCAGCCCCAACTGGCTTCCCCCACACCTCCCCAGCTCTGCCAATGCTCTTAGTTCCTGAGCTGCAGCCCTCCAGCTCCAGTCCTAACCTCCCATCTGCACCCCAGCTTTGCTGAATCACCTTAGTTGTATGTGAAAACTCTCCAGGTGTGGTGGGCTTTTAGCATAATGTTAATTTCTCTTGGAAACCAGCCAGGAGGGGAAACCCTATATGCCATGTCTTCCTTGCTTCCTGGTGATAGAGCACCCATGGCTTGCCATTCAAGGGCTCCCAGACCATCTGGAGATAAGGGTTCTTCCAGGGTCCCTGAGCTGCCGCATGAGCCATGGGACCTTATCAGCCAGGATGAGAAGGTGCTGGAGCAACATGCAGATCCCCATCGTGGGGTGGGGTGGGGGTGCCCCTGTCTGGAGGGGTCTCATTCTGCTCCCTTCAGCCAGACTGGGCCCCATGTTTATCCATGGATGAGGATGATGCAAGGGTAGGGTGGGGGGAGGGTTTTGTGCAGCAACAAGTGATCCAGAGGGTACCCTGATCTGGAGGACACTGGGACTTCAAGAGGTGTTAGTTTGCCTCCCAAAATTCCCTGTGCAGCTGCCACTGGAAATGGAGGTATTCAGCTGATTCCTAAATTGCTGCACAGTGTTGCTGCATAGAACAGTTACCATGCTCTGGACCAGAGGTGGCTGTATGTCAGTGCTGGGCGAAGTGATCTACTTCGAGCCAACCATAGAGCTGTAACGTATCCTCCCTTTGGGAACCTCTGGGATGAAAAGCACTAGTACAAATGTGCAAAGAGAAGAAGCAACAATCCAGCGGTCTCATTATGGAGGGAAGGAAATACAATTGTATCTCTTTACGAAGAGACTGGTTTGTTTCTGTCCTTCCTACATCCCCCATGAGGGCTGGAGCAGTTACTCTGAAACAATTCATACAGGATTATTGTAACAGCCATGTTAGTCTGTATCCACTAAAAGAAAAGGAGGACTTGTGGCACCTTAGAGACTAACTCATTTATTTGAGCACAAGCTTTCGTGAGCTCACTGGATCCGATGAAGTGAGCTGTAGCCCACGAAAGCTTGTGCTCAAATAAATTGGCTAGTCTCTAAGGTGCCACAAGTCCTCCTTTTCTTTTTGCCTGTATAACTTAATGTTTCTCTAGCAATCAGCAAAAAGCAGAAACCCTGCTAGGAAGGTGCCAACTTCTTACTGCCCAGGGCATCCCCAAACACCACTGGCATGATGTGCTCATGCCTTTGGAACATGTCAGCTTCAGGAAGAGCTGTGTTAACAAGCACATGGTTAAAGAAACCAAGCAGTGTAGTTAGGATCCAGCTCTCTAAACCAGGAGGGTGCTTTGGATGCACACTGCTTTAAACTGAATGGCAAACGCAGGATCTTTCAGGGCACTAAAGCCTGCATCATCGGAGTTGCTCA